TTGAAATCGGACTGGACTTTTTTAAAATGAAAAAAAAAAATGAAAGTAAATCTGCCCAAGACGTCACTAAGGAATGGACATGGAGGGGATGGGCCAAAGCGTGGCTGGAGCCGGCGACTGGCGGCGTGTTCATACCCCCTGAGTGGGTGTAAGACCTTCCCAAAGCAGGCGGCTGCAGGGGAGCACTGGAGCGGTGGCAGCTGACTTCTCAGGGAAGACCGGGGTCCCCAAGGGCGACAGGACCTGGGGCGACAGGACGCGGCCGGGGCCCCTGACCCAGAAGGGCGAGGGAAACAGGAAGCTGCTCCAGAAACACTCAAGAACAAATTAGAAAAACACAAGGCGGCCGACCTCATGCGTTTGCTCTGCGATCTGTCACAACTGCTTGCGGTCAGTGAATATAAGAGGTTAAGTTTTTTGCTGATTTAATAAAGGAAATCTAGTTTTTATTAAACGAGTTGGCACACCCCTGCTCCTTGTGGCTCGGCTTCGCATCTTTTAATTCCCTACCAGCCACCTAGCGGCCACACTGACAAGGCAAGGGGAGGGGCGCCCGGGCGGCTCAGTCTTGAGTCTTTAAGTGTCCGACTCTTGATTTCTGCTCAGGTCTTGATCTCACCCAGGTGAGATGGAGCTCCGGGTCGCGCCCCTGCTTAAGATTCTCTCTCCCTCTCCCTGAGTCCTTCTCTCTCTCTCTCTCTCTCTCTCTCTCTCTCTCTCAAAAAGAAAACAAAAACAAAAACAAAACAAAGAAAGGGGAGATATTGAAGAACACTCAAGGCCCCCCAAACACGAACCAAAATCTCAAGATATCCCAGAGGGGCAGCTTTGAATCAAACCCAGGCTGACCTTAGGCAGACAGCCAAGTGTCCAACCCACAAGTAGATTCTCAGGACTGACCTACCCTACACTAGAACATTCTCCCACCGCCCACATAGCGAGACTGCCCTGGCTAATCCCACTCACACCTGCGGGAGACTCCCCTGAGAAGGTCGGCCCCACCTCCTCCCCGCCTGTACAGCGCCTTCTCTCTCCGGCTGACGCCTCCTGAGCGCCCCCTACAGTACCACAGCAGAAACTGCAGGCACCCCTTAAACCCTGGTGTTCCCAGGCAACAGCCCCCACAGAGAGCTCACGTTTATTGCACACTTATTACACGCCAGACACTGTTTTTGTTTTGTCTGCTCCTTCTCTCCACTTGCAGCGGATTAACTCCTTCAAATGGTTCTCTGAGGTAGACACCCCTCTCTACGGATGTGGAAACAGATGCGGAGAAGTCTGGGTGGACGGGTCAGGAGGTAGTGCAGCCGGGATTCCAGCGGTGGACTGAGTAGAGGGCGCTGTAGTCTGAACCCTCCTTCCACGACCTCCTGCCCCCGCCGCCCCATACGTGGAAACAGCACTGCCAGAGGCACATAGATATGGAAAAATCCAAAAGAGGTCACTGAGCGATTCAAGCTGGGCAAACGCTGCCCTTGGCCAAAGGTCAGCAGACTGCCTCAAAGCACATTTAAATTTTTTATAGGGTGCGAGAAGACAAAACGAAACGCTGTGCCTTGAAGCCTCAGCCCCATTTGCCCAGGAAGAAATATGCGAAGCTCTCACAGCCTGTTTCAGATCTGCTGACCGGACCGAAAAGTGAGTCTCTGCCATTCGCCACAACCCTACACCTCACTGACTAGAGGAACCCTAAAATCACCCTAAAAATATTTTTGTGCTGGGGCGCCTGGGTGGCTCAGTCGGTTAAGCGTCCGACTTCGGCTCAGGTCGTGATCTCGCGGTCCGTGAGTTTGAGCCCCGCGTCGGGCTCTGTGCTGACTGCTCAGAGCCTGGAGCCTGTTTCAGATTCTGTGTCTCCCTCTCTCTCTGCCCCTCCCCTGTTCATGCTCTGTCTCTCTCTGTCTCAAAAATAAATAAACGTTAAAAAAATTTAAACTATATATATATTTTTGTGCTAACGAAACGTATCTATTAGAATGTGATTACGGAACAGCATCAATGACACGGGGATCGCGGGGGAGAAACCGTACCTTGACAGCCAGCTTCCACGAGCCACCGCAATCGTGGGGCACTGGGGCTGAAAGAGGCTTCGGAAACACCGTGTCCGAGAAAGTGAACTGAGACTCAGCCTGATCAATCTGTCCCACAGTGTGTCTCTTTATTCAAGTGTGCAACCTCGTTGAAAAGACATTAAAGCCCTCCTAAAGGGCCAGGCCCTTTGCTAGACCCGGAGGGTACACAGGCCCCTGAGCCATATGCCCAAGAAGTTACGCCTGAAGAGAGGGACTGCCTTGTTCCAACCCACATAAGGTGCTGTACTGGGCTAACAGTGGCCCTGGGGACATCACACTAAGACTCGGTCTGCACCTTTAGACTATGGGCTCCAAACTGCTAGGCGAAATCCAGGATGCAAACATATATGTCTGGCTTTCACGGCTTTAAAACCTGGGAGGTTTCCTAGGAGGTCTGAACGATCCAGGCCTCTTTAAAAAAGTAGAAGATACGGCAATTCTGGGCCTGTGTTCCCACCTGGCTCCGCTGGAGTGGGGCAGCGGCTGTTCTCACTAGATGGGGCATGAGCCATCCACTTTGTCACTGTCTCCGCCACTCCCTCCTGTCTCTCCGGCAATGCTACCTTTACTTCAGTCTGCCCTGTGGGCAAGTGAGGACGCAAGGGGTGAGCTGGGCCCTCCCAGGCTAGTGGGAGAGACAGGAGCCTAAGAAAGAACCGCAAAATAGTGTGATGTGTGTTGACACAAGTAAACTCAGAACACTTACTTCGTGGCTGAGCAAAGGTCAGAAAGTGGGCTCAGCCCCTTCGTTGTGCCCTGGCCTTTAGCAGCCCAGCCTCCACTGGGCACATGCAGACAGCCATTCTAGACTGAAAAGACAGGGTCCACGACAGCCCCCCAAGTCATTGCTGGTACATGGCACCCAAGCGGTCTCAGAGCCCTGCTCAGGGCTCCGCGAGGACCCAAGGGATTTGGATCATTCTTACAGCTAGGTCAACCAGAATGCCATTTGCCAGGGGGAAGGGAGAAAATGAGATTCTCTCTGGGATAGGATGAACACTGCTCATACCACATCTTAGGTGATTTAGAACACTGCTTGTGAGCAAGCAGAGGGAAGCTCGCCACCCTTCTTCCCCTGCACAGTACCTGTAGGAAGGCAGAGTGCATGACGACCATCCAGATCAGCGGCCACCAGGAACTCTCCCACGAAGCCATCGGGTCCGGTCTCCTGGGAGTCTCTCTTGAGCCTACAAGAGAGCAAAAAGTTGGTTTCCAACCAGCTCTGTCCCCAGTGGCGGCACCCATGACTTAAGAGACCCATCAGAGGGAGGGACCCTGAACCCCCCCCCCCCCCCGCCCGCCAACAATGTCTCGAAAAGGTTTGTGTAGATTCAGGATGGGGTGCCTATTTCAAGGTACAGGCCATGGAGGGCTATCTTTAAGAGGCATCCACATCAAGGTCAGGAGGGCACTTGGACCTGCCTCCCATGTGCAACCCACACGGCCAGTCCTCCAGAAGCTGAGACATCTCTGCACCAGCCACTTTCCAGCTCATGTGTCAACAGCAGGGTGTGGCGATTGGCTTCTGACTCAGGAAGCCAGCATGGAGCCAAGGATTAGGGCACCTGCCAGCTTCTTCGACTTCAGGCAAAAATGAATCTGAGGCCAACTAAGGCAGCCCAGCGAGGGGAAGGGACCTGCCTAAGGTCACACAGCACGATGGTGACTGTTCTCGAACAGTTCGAGGCTTTTCTCCCAGGAGATGCCACCGTCCAAGCCCTAGACCTGCAGCCAGAGAGGTCTGAGAGCTGAGTTCAGGGAGGTTCAGAGCGCACAGCCTCAGCGCCCGCGGACACACTCTGCCAAAAGTAGGTGAGGGCGAACGGGCAGAGGCCCCCTGAGCCCAGGAGGGCAGCGAGGGGGGTGGGGGGGGGCCTGCAGAGTCCCCCTGACGATTTACAGGGAAATCAGTACGAGCCGAGACTGGAAAAGCCGAGGTCACACTCGCCTCGCCTCTCACTTCGCCTCGCGGGCGCCTTGGCGGAGCCGGTGTCCGGGGGCGGGTCGGTGGCTTCTCTCCATCTGGAGAAAGCATTAAGGGCCTGGCCTAATGCGATCCGCAAATGTGCTGCTGTTTCCGACCTGAGGCGGCGACTCTGGGCCGAAGGGAGGCGGCCAGTGCCGGGCCCGGGGAACCGCGCGCCCCCCTCGCCGGCTCGCACTGGCCGCCCCGCCGCACACCCCGCCGGAGCCCGCTGCCCGGCGGAGGCTCCTCCCGCGCCCGCGCCCGCGCCCGCGCCCGCGCCTCCCCAGCCCGCTACCCCACGCTCCAGGCGCTCGCGACCCGCCGACGCTCAAGGCCACTGGCTGCTGTCAGCCCGTTTTCCGCCGGGGAAGCCCCAACACGAGGAACCCCCCACCCCCGCCTTCGCGGACAGGGGCCCCCGCCCTCAGGAGCGCCCCCATCCCCGCCCGCCGGCAGCCCCGAACGTCCCTGTCCCGGTCCTCCAGGACCCCACGGAGCGTGCCGGCCCGAGGTCTCCGGGCCGCCCCCCCCCCC